ATTGGGTGTGCGTGACGCATGCGGGCGGCAGCGCTGGGGCCTTCGGTAGAGCTTCCTATGGGGCCACGAAACGTGTGAGGGGTGTGCAAATTGGGCGTGCAGGACGCAATAGCGGACGGCAGCACGGTGCCTTCGGTGGAGCTCCCTATGGGGCCACGAAACGTGTGAGGGGTGTGCCGAAATGGGTTGTGGGGAGGCATGCGAACGCAGCCACTGGGGCCTTCGGTGGAGCTCCCTATGGGGCCACGAAACGTGTGAGGGGTGGCCGAAATGGGTGTGCGGGACGCATGCGGACGGCAGCACTGGGGCCTTCGGTGGAGTTCCCTGTGGGGCCACGAAACGTGTGAGGGGTGTGCCGAAATGGGTGTGCGGGACGCATGGGAAACGGCAGCACTGGGGCCTTCGGTGGAGCTCCTTGTGGGGCCACGAAAACGTGTGAGGGGTGTGCCGAATGGGTGTAGCGGGACGCAATGCGTACGGCAGCCATGGGGTGCCTTCTTGGAGCTCCTATGGGGCCATCGAACCAAACGTGTGAGGGGGGTTCCGAAAATGGTGAAATGGGTGGTGGCGGGACGCATCGCGGAAACGCAGCACTGGGGGCCTTCGGTGGAGTCTCCTTGGGGCCACGACACGTGTGAGGGGTGTGCCGAACTGGGTGTGCGGGACGCATGCGGACGGCAGCACTGGGGCCTTCGGTGGAGCTCCCTATGGGGCCACGAAACGTGTGAGGGGTGTGCCGAAATGGGTGTGCGGGACGCATGCGGACGGCAGCACTGGGGCCTTTCGGTGGAGCTCCCTGTGGGGCCACGAAACGTGTGAGGGGTGTGCCGAAATGGGTGTGCGGGACGCATGCGGACGGCAGCCATGGGGCCTTCGGTGGGGCTCCCTATGGGGCCACGAAGCGTGTGAGGGGTGTGCCGAAATGGGTGTGCGGGACGCATGCGGACGGCAGCATTGGGGCCTTCGGTGGAGCTCCCTGTGGGGCCACGAAACGTGTGAGGGGTGTGCCGAAATGGGTGCGCGGGACGCATGCGGACGGCAGCACTGGGGCCTTCGGTGGAGCTCCCTGTGGGGCCACGAAACGTGTGAGGGGTGTGCCGAAATGGGTGTGCGGGACGCATGCGGACGGCAGCCATGGGGCCTTCGGTGGAGCTCCCTGTGGGGCCACGAAACGTGTGAGGGGTGTGCCGAAATGGGTGTGCGGGACAGCATGGCGGACGGCAGCCATGGGGCCTTCGGTGGAGCTCCCTATGGGGCCACGAAGCGTGTGAGGGGTGTGCCGAAATGGGTGTGCGGGACGCATGCGGACGGCAGCACTGGGGCCTTCGGTGGAGCTCCCTATGGGGCTACGAAACGCTGTACTGGGCGGGTGGAACGCAGGGAAGAGGGGGAGGAGGGAGGAGGCGGAGGAGGAGGAAGGAGGAAGGAGACGCGGGGCACCGTCTCTTCAAAACGAGGACCCAACACCACAGGATGGTTGGGAACAATGATTTTGGCCTCTTCGGGCCTTCCTGGAGGACCTCTTGGAGGCCTCTTGGGCCGTCTGGGAGGCCTCTGGGGGGCCTCTTGGGCCGTCTTGGGCCGTCTTGGACTCTCTTGGGTCGTCTTGGATGCCGTCTTGGACCATCTTGGGCGGACGTGGAGGCCATCTTGGGCCATCTTCGCGATTTTTTGAGGATGTCCCGAGCGAGACGGCCGTTTCTGAGCCGTCTTGGAGGCCATCTCGAGCCATCTTGGAGGATTTTTTGCGGTCGTTGAGCTCGTTTCCGGGCCTTCCGCGGCCCCCGCGGGACGCGCCAGAGCCCACTGGGAGAGTTCTTTTGGAAAAAGAACCAAAACCAAAACCGAGAGGGTCTAGCACGCCAGGCACCCCTGCGATGAATCGACAGGGGGCGGCGGATTCAATGGCCTTCGGTCCATCCCGCCACCGTGCCCGGGTTGTGGGTCATAGGTCCTTTGGTTGTTCGTTGGGATGTTTGCCTCTGGGGGCCTTCTTCTTGGGGGCCTCTTGGGAGCTTCTTGGGGCCGCGGGCTCGAAATGTCCGTTGGAGGACCCTGTCCGGGCTCCCTGTGGGGGCCGCTTTGGGGGCCTCTTGGGCCGTCCTGGAGGCCTTTTGGAGCGGGATGGGGCCTTCTTGGGCTATCTTGGGGCCGTCTAGGGGGCCTCTTGGGCCGTTTTGGGGCGATCTTGGGTGCCTCTTGGGCCGTCTTGGAGCGTCGTGGAGCCCAAATCGCGAGTACCCCAGAAACCTTCAAAAACCGTAGGAAAAGATATGACTTTTGCCTCTTTGAGGCCTCTGGAGGCCTCTACCTACGGGCGTCTTGGAGGCCTCTTGGGCCGTCTGGGGGCCATCTTGGGCCGTCTAGAGGCGCTCCTTGACCGTCTTGGGCGCTCGGTAGGGAGCTCCGCGAAAGTCTGTGGGTCGTTTGGGGCGTTGCCGCAGTCCTGGAGGTCATGCGGAACACCCCCTGGAGCGCCGAGAGTGCCTGGGGAATTGGTGGTCCGGGCCCTTAAGAAACTACAGTGCAGGCTGCAGCAGCAGGACAGCTGTGAGCACAATCCTGGCTGCAGCAGCAGCGCAGCTGTGAGCCTTGGGGCACTCCACTTCGTGCCAGAGGCACTGCGACGGATAAAGCATGCTGTGCGAATGTCATAAATGTAGTGTCAGAATAGCAGATAGATGCTCCAGGTATGCTGTAGGCATCAGGATAGCTTTCGGACAAACATAAAATGGTTCCGGAGAAAAGCCCCAATCAAACTCTTTTTAGAGCTGAAGGGCTATGGGGCTATTGGGCTATAGGGCGATGGGGATATGGGGCTATAGGGTTATGGAACTATAGGGCTGTTAGGGTCATAGGGCTATAGGTCTATAGGTCTATACGACTATAGGGCTATAGGACTATAGGGCCATAGGGCTATAGGGCTGTAGGGCTATAGGGCTATGGGGCTCTGGGGATATGGGGCTATAGGGCGATAGGACCATAGGGCTATGAGTCTATAGGGGCTATGGGGCTATAGGGCGATAGGGATATGGGGCGATAGGGCTGTAGGGCTGTAGGGCTATGGGGCAAAAGGGCTATATGGCTATCGGGCTATAGGCATATAGAGCTATAGGGTTATAGGCTATAGGGCTATAGGGCTATACCGCTATGGCCATACAGCTTTAGGGCTTTAGGGCTATTTGGCTATTGGGCTATAGGGCTAAAGAGCTATGAGGCTATAGGGCTATAGGGCTATGGGGCTGTAGGGCTATAGGCCTATAGAGCTGTAGGACTCTAGGATCATAGGGCTATAGGGCTATAAAACTATAAGGCTATAGGGCTATAGGGCTATAGGGCTTTAGGGCTATAGGGCTGTTGGGCTATGGGGCTATAGGGCTATAAGGCTATAAGGCTATAGGGCTGTAGGGATACATGGCTTTCAGAGCTATAGGGCTGTAGGGCTATAGGGTTATAGGGCTATAGGGCTATAGGGCTATACGGCTATAAGATAAGGCACCCGGGCACCCGGGCGGGCCGCGGAAATCGGTGACAAAGCTCACTTAACCATATGATACCGGAAAAAAGCCCCAATCATAATCTTTTCAGAGCTATTGGGCTACGGGGCTATAGGTCTATAGAGCTATAGGGCTATAAGGCTGTGGGGCTATAGGGCTATAGGGCTGTAGGGCCATGGGGCTACATGGCTATAGGGCTACAGGGCGACAGGACTATAGGGCTATAGTGCTATAGGGATATAGGGCTATAGGGCTATAAGGCTACAAGGCCATAATGCTATAGGGCTACAGGGAAACAGGGCTGTAGGGCTGTAGGGCTATAGGGCTTTTCGAGCTATAGGGCTGTAGGGCTATAGTGCTATAGGGCTATAGGGCTATAGGGCTATAGGGCTAGAAGGGTATAAGGCTATAGGGCTACAGGGCTATAGGGCTATAGGGCCACCGGGCACCTGGGCACCTGGGCACGCGGGCACCCGGGCACCCGGGCACCCATATGAATCCGCTAGGATCCCTACAGAGGCAAGCTCTGATTGTTGAAATAAGCTTGGAATCGCAAACAAGTGCGATTCCACAAAGATTATGTGAGACAAGTACGGCTTTCTCGCGGTTCTAGCAGGATCCCAGTACAGGCGGCATAGAGCAAGACAGCAAGACGGCACGAATGTGGCATGGGGGGTCGGCTGTTGTAGTGTGCCTATTGTATTATTGTAGATGGCCCATCGTATTCCCACAGAATTTCTATAGTAGGCGTACCGTTTTCCAATCGTTTTAATTTCGTATTCTCAGTGTATGCTCGCTTGATCCCCGTAATATTTGTTTCCAGTTTTGCAATCGTGGTCTGTCAAGTTGGAAGCCTCATTTCTCATCTCATGCCCAGTGTATGTCTGTACCATGCGATAACATGTCTGTTTCATCCTTAGAGTATCCGCATCGTAGTTCTGCAGTGTTACTGTAGCGTTTCCACCGTATTCCTGTAGTCTTCTGGCCGTGTCCTTACAGCATCCCTGCAGTCTTTTCTGGCCAGATTTTGGATCGCGCCCAGCCGTGGGCAGGAGAGTTTTCAGGAACGCTTCAACAAATTCGAAACGACGACGATGACGACGACACACGTCGACGACGACGGCGACCGCGACGGCGCCGACCATGACTGTGACGACTTCAGGTCTCTGGGTGGATGGACGTCTTGACGGATGACGACCACGATTTCGTCGACGAGTTCGACAACGATGTCGACGATGACGACGACAACAGCGGCGGCGACGACGACGACGAACGGCGTCGACCTCCGTCCTCTACCTCCTCGTTCTGTAGACGTCTTTGGAAAATCCAAGAAGTTACTCGGTTGTCCCTTCAGTCCCTTGGAGGACCTGGAACCCCTGGGGAGGTCCGACAGAAGGTCCAAAGCTTCCAAACACCTCGATGTTCAGATCCTCCTCTCGCCTCGACGACGACGGCGGCGGCGGCGGGCGGCGGCGGTGGCGACGACGACGACGGCCGCAGCAGGTCAGCGAGGTCTCCGAGGACGAGGGCCCGAAGGGCACGGCGCCGGCAGGCATGCCCGGCATGCTGGGCGGGCCCTGGGCCGGGCCGAAGAAAGCCCGCGGCCGTGGCGCGCTGCGAGAGTCTGTGGCCAGCTCTGGGAGCCCCCCAGTGGCCATGTCGGGAGGGGGCAAGTCCACTGTGCTTTGTCTAGAGGTGTTTTCTTCGGTAGTTGACGAAAGGTTCCGAGACTTGGGATGGTTTCCATCAGCCGCGCCTCGTCGAGGGCGTTCCTGGGGCGCCAGAACCGTCCCGAACGGCCGCGCATCGACCTCCAATCGCCCTTTGATCGCCGATAATTAGGGGCCTGACAGCCCTCCCCGCCCAGGAACGTGCGGCTTCGCTGTCGTTTCCCCCCCGCCGATCGTCGGGCGATGTATCTCCGGTTCCAGGCCGATGCCCCCAGCCGTGAGTTGGTCCCTCCTCACGCTCGCCCTCGGCCCCGATGCAAGGGTGTTGATGCCGCCCCTCTACCTCCGCCGCTTTCCGCCGACTTCCCGCTGGCCTCCTGCAGCGGAGCCGCCGCCGTTTTGCCTCCGCCAGCCTTCCGCCGGCTCTCGCCGAGGTCGAGATGCGCCCAAGGCGAGGCCCTGTCCAGCGCGCCCCACGTCCAGGCCCACCGCCTCGGAGTCGTGCCCCGAGGTCTCGAGGCTCTCTCGAGGAGTGGGGGATGCGGCCCGCACGAGGCTTCCGGGCGACCCTGGCTTTGGAGGGGCGCCCTTCTGTTCTGCGTGCTTGGACTTCCCGCCTCTGCGCGTGACTTGTTTGGGGTATCTCCATGGGCCATGGCGGCCGGGGCCCTCGACGAAGGGGCTCGTGCTCTTGGCCCGCGTTCTTGCGGCCATGTCTCGACGGCATGGGTATCGGCCCGCCCCCGAGGGCGGGAACGTATCCACACCCACCGTTCCCCAGGGAACCAGGGCATCATTCCAGCAGCCGTGGATGTGAATGTTTTCTGGCGGTGCACGAGGACCTCCCAGACCAAGGACCGACGGTGTTTTAAGACCTGGGCCGCGCCAGAAAACATGCAACGTCTGCTTTTCTATGATGTCGGCCTCTGGAGGCTGTGCCCTGGCCCCAGGACCGTCAAGCAAAAAAGTCTCAGAATTGAAACCGTTCCCCGGGGAAAAGGGCCAAGATCCCCAGGGTGCACGTCACAACAAATTCAAAGACGTCGGAGGAGAGGAGAGGTTCAAGGACCGAGCATCACATGTCAAACGCGGTGTGAACGCAGACCTTCGAAGATCCGCGCGGCTTGCTTGGTTCGGCGCTGGCCCCCCCCCTCCCACACCACTGGCGGCGCCTCCAGCGACGCCCCTGGCGCGCTCTGCGCGCAGGGGGAGGTCAGCGCCCACTTGGGACGCAATTCCTGGGAGGTCGACTTCAGCATCGGCCGTAGTCTACCCTTACCCATCGGTCGATGAAAGTAGGTATTGATTCCCAGACTCCAATCTACTTTAAGCGCCTTCCTACTTCAAGAGTCGAGTGGTTTCCCCTCTTCCCTCCTCTATACAGGAGGCGGGCGGAAACCCAATCTGCTTCCAACGCCTTCCTACTTCATGGCTCTACCTACTTTTCCGACCGATGGGTAAACCTGCCTGGTCTTAAGTCGGGCCTGTCCCTCTACAGGAGGAATATTCGAAAATAGTCAAACTATAGTCTGGGGAATGCTTTTGACTAGTTTTTTGTTATATATATGTATTATAATTATTATCAACATTTTTTCGTCCAAAATCCGCCTGTAGGGATACATGCCCGACCTAAACTTAGTCCAACACAGTCTGGCCTGATCCCGCTGGATCCAGTCTGGCTTACTCCCGCTGGATCTTGGCGCAACCTGGTGCACTCCATCGCGGGGGCGAAATTTTTGTTCGCCCTGAATTTAAGTCGGGCCTGTCCCTCTACAGGAGGAGTATTCAAAAATAGTCAACAAATAGTCAGGGGACGATTTTTTGATGTTTCTTATTTGACTATTTTTGAGTATTCTTTGGGTTCCAAAATTCCCTTGTAGGGGTACATGCCCGACCTAAACCTGGATTCCTCTTGATGTTCCTGGGGCCCGAGAGTGGGACCCGGAGGTTGGAATAGAGGAGAAACGCCCGGCGATGGGAGACATCATATCCTCGGAGATTTGGGGTGCCCTCGCCTGGGGTTCTCATGCGTGGTCGACGTCGGTGACGCATCGGCGACGGTCGGACGGAGAAAGTCGCGCTCCACGTCGGGCCCCATGGCCGTCGCATCGGCGATGCGGCGCGACCCTCCGACCCCGTCTCAATACTCCGACCCCACCTGGGAGGCCTAGAGTCTTATCGATAGCCCCACGCCCCCTGCCGCGCGGAACCCCGAAGGCGGCATGCTGCCCGGGCTGCCGGGCATGCCGCCGCTGCCGGGCATGCTGCCCGGCCTGATGCCCGGCATGATGCCTGGCCTGCCGGGGATGCCCCGGCCTGGCATGCTGCCTGGGATGCCGGGCGCCGCGATGGGGCCGGTGCTGATGCAGGCCGCTGGACCCAGACATCCAACGTGCTGAGCCTGATAGAGCCGCGAACCATGGCCTTAGAGCATTGGCCGTTCCCGCGTTGTGCGATTCCACATCAGGGCCGAAGCAGGCCGCTCATGGCTGTGTGGAGGCATGTCTTCGAAGCTCGTGCAATCGTTGAGGTCACCCGAGGGCTCTGTCCGCTCGACCCTGCCATCCAACGCATTGTCAAACGTCGGGACTGAGGTCTTCTCGCCGTTCCCTGACCCTGGGGGCCCTTGCCGAGCCCTGGGACCAACAGCAAATTGTGCCTTGTTTCGTCCCGAACCATCTCGGGACGCAGCAGCACATCGGCCCTGGGCAGGTTGGTCGGGTCTGAAGACTGAGGATCCCCGAGGCGCTTTCGGACGAGGTCGTCCGCCTCTGGAGCTTTTCCAGCCTCGAGGCGCCTTTCAGCGGCTGCGCCTCGCCGAGAGCGTTCCAGCCGGCCCAAAAACCATACAGGGGCCCCAGACTCAAACTATACATATATATGTATATTCATATATTTATATATGTATATATGTATAAGTATTTGTAGATATGTATATGTATATGCACATACACAAGTGTGTGTATCTATATATAGATAGGTGTGTGTGTGTGTGTGTGTGTGTGTGTGTGCGTCTTTCTTTAATCCGGGCGTTTTTCCTCGACTTCGGCCCCCAGGATCTGTTGTCGTGCCCCGGGACCATCGAAGTTGCATCTGGGGCCAACATCTGGCCATGGGAAGGGGTCGGGACGCCGCGCATTGAGCAAATCACATCGGCGGATGTCAGGGTCCGAGGATCGAGGATCCCTGAGATCCAGGTGGCGATTCGCGCCCCTGGACCACCAGGACTCGATCCAGTGTGTGGAGGCGAGTGCCATATTCTGAAACCACCCGCCCTCAATCAGTGAAGCTCTTACAACTTGTTAAGACGAATGTGCGTGGCGCTGAGGCGAGAGCCACATTTTGAAAACCACCCACCCTCAATCCGTGGAGCTCTTGCAATTCGTTAAGGCGAGTGTGCGTGGCGCTGAAGCGAGTGCATCATTCTGAAACCACCCGCCTTAAATCTGTGAAGCTGTTGCCAATTTCTGAGCTTCCGGATCGTGAGTGGGGAGGAAGTCTACAGGAGGAAAATTCAAAAATAGTTAAAAATAGTCAGGAGAGTATATTTCGACGATTTTTGATGATTTTTGGAGTCTGGTTTGACTACTTCTGATTTTTCGCCCAACGGCGGGCGGCGGTGGCACAGGTGAACATTTTGGGGGAGGCGGCCACTCAACATGGCAAAAGGGCCAGGGTCTGGCCAAACTCAATACGTTTTCCGCTCGCCCAAGCACAGTACAGCATCGTTGGGTGTGCTCTGGTCCTCCTCCTCGTCCCCGTCCCCCGGATCCTGACATCGAGACCCGCTGGCTGCGTTCGACCAGGAGGGGCTCCGCGCGAAAATCCGCGCCCAGGAGGGACCTGGCCAGGCGACAGGCGGAGGAGGTCTTCGGCGGCTTCGGACCATTTTCGGCACTGTTCGGGAGCTCTCCCTGGTCATCGAACGTCTTCGGTAATTGGCAAATTCTTTACGGGTGTCCTCGGCTGTTCGCCGAGGAGGGGCCCTGCGGGGGAGGGGGCTCGACTAATTACAGGATCAGGCTTGCGCATGTGCTTGCCTCGGGGTACGGCGGCACAGAAGAGGCAAGGCAACCCGCCCCTTCTTGCTGACATACAGCCAACCCGTACCTAAGGATGCGCCACGAGGATGCCAGGGCCCTGGACGCCCATTTCGAAGCTTCTCGAGCGGGGCGCAGCCCACGGAAGCGGCCAAGGATGGACCGAGGAGACCAGGATGCAAGGGGGGGTACCCTTGGGAAGGCTGCCCATCCTTGCTGTGCGGGTCGACTGCACCTCCTTCTCCTCTTGCCCCCCCCTCTTCATTCGAGGATCGGGGGGGAGTGGAGGAAGGTCGCAAAGTGGAACATATACATTGCCAGTGGCGGGTTGTTTTTTCAATCCCACGCCTTTTTGAGGGTCGGGGACGACGTCGGGGTGGTGTGGTGTATACTTTTCCCCCGCTTTCCCAGGGAAACAGCGAACACATGTATGCACCAGGATCCCGTGTGCACCAGGACCCGCGCTCCTGTGCGAATTTCAGCGCAGGGTCGGAAAGAAGCGTCGGTGTATAGAGTTCGCTTCCCTAGAAAGGAGGAGGGGAGAATGGAGAAGGGGGGAGAGGAGGAGGGGGCGGAGGGGAGAGGAGGGGGGGAGAGAGGAGGGGGGAGAGGGGAGAGTAGGGGGGGGGGGGAGAGGAGGGGAAGGAGGAGGAGGGGAGAAGAGAAGGGGGGAGAGGAGGGGAGAGGAGGAGAATGGAGAAGGGGGGCGAAGGGGGCGGGGGGGGGGGGAGGCCCACGGCGGAGGCCGTGGCCGGCCATCCCGGTCAGCGGCGGGGGCGGCGGCGGCGATGCGGCGGCGGCGAGGAGGTGGTGAGGCAGGCGATCGCAAGCGTGGATCAATGGGGCGTGGATGGGCGTTGATCGGGGCTGGATAAACTCCTTCCCTGACACGTCGATTAGCGAATTGGCCGTTTTCGGTTCGCGAGAGGGCGTCGCGGCCGTCGTTTTTGCGGCTCCAGGTCCGTCGGTTTCGGTCCCAGGCCGTTTTCACTAAAGGGAGGTTTACGAAAGGGAGGTTTGTCCACCGCCGAGTTAAGTCGGGCGTGTCCCTCTACAGGAGGAATATTCAGAAATAGTCAAAAAATAATCGGGGGACGATCTTTTGAGTATTTTTGAGCATCTTTGGACGTTTGGACAATTTGTAATCTTTCGTCCAAAATCCCCCTGTAGGGGGACATGCCCGACCTAAGATTAGCGACGGGTCTTTCCATGGGAAATCGCGGATTTCCGCCGCCAAGCGAGGCGGCACCGGCCGCATTCTGGGGAGGGCACCTCCCCAGATCCATGGATGTGGCGACCGCGCGCCAAATCCATGAATCGCTAATCCATGTTTGCGCGCCCCCGAATGAGACGACATGGATGACGTGGACGAGGCGAGGCGAGGGCGAGGACGACGTGGACGTAGTGGCGAGCTCGACGTGGACGAGGCGGTGGCGGCGGTGAGAACGACGTGGACGAGGGCGACGGCGGCAGCGGCGGCGGCGGCAGCGGCGGCGGCGGCGGCGATGCGGAGGCGGGGTGGTGGCGAGGACGGCGAGGACGAGGAGGACGAGTGCGAGAAGTACGGGAGCCACGAGGACGAGGTCCGCGAGGGCGATGGTGACGAGCAGGGCGAGGACAACGAGCACGGCGGCGGCGGCTGGGCGGCAGCGAGGTTGCCGTCGTCTCCCCCCGCAGGGCGTGACGGGGCAGCTGGTCTACGGGATACCCGGCGTCGGCAATGTCCCGGGCCTGTCGCCGGGGATGATGGGCATCCCAGCGTGGGAGAAAGCTTGTCGGTCGTTGGCCAGGAGGGCCGAATCGGACGGGGCTAGGACGAGGATAAATCCGTTTCAGAGCACGCTCTCAGAGCGTTCCGGAACGCTCTTAGAAGGCCGCGGCGCCCGAGACATTTTCCAGAGCCGCCGGATTTCAGAGATTCTCTATTTTTACCCTCACCCGATTTTGACCTCGTTCTGGCTTCGTCTTATGATGGCCGACGGTAGCTCCTGTCCACTGGTCACCAGTCGCCGTCGGCGTCACCGCCCACTTAGTTGTCCACATGGGACGGCCGCCGCCTGCCCAACATCAAGAGAGGAAAAACCACCCGGACCGGACAATTGGCGTTTACTACACGGCCTCGGGCGTTTACCAAGCAGCCCTGCCCTGTTCGATTCCTTCAGTGGGGACGTTCAGTAAACGGCTTCGCGTGTCGGGGTGGTTCGTAGGGGGGTTGGATTTGCTGCCCTCGGCAACAGCGCCCGCTTGCGGTCTTGGGCGACTGTCGTTTGGCATCGGCCCCGTGCTCTCCGTCCGCAGCTCGGGCGTGCCAGGGAGACGGTACACCTTAGGCGATGCTTAAGAAAACCCAAGTTTTCGGCCAGAGTCTCGATTATTCTTAACTTTTGGATGTAAATCCTAAGATTTAAATAGACATGTTGGGTTTAAATGGAATTTCTGAGACTATGAATTTCTTAACCCATGATTTCTTAAGCATTTCGCAGGGTGTACGGTGGACCCCTGTCGTGCCGACGCGGCAGCGGCCCTGCCGCGCCTGTTCGGGACTGAGCGCCGCCAATGGCTCCGACTCGACCAACAACCAAGCTGGAACGATCTGGCGATCGAGAAGCGGCCGATCGTTCAAGACTAAACAGTCCACGCGGTGTCAGAAACCAGCGCTGGGGGGTCGTCACGACACGAAGCTGCCGTAGGCACTTCTGGAATACCACCCCGTAAGTCTTCAACCGGGGCTGCCGAAGAGATCTTTACTTGTTTTGTGGAGGTTAGCGCTTGCCTGCACACCCTGGCAGGCCGATTCCTCCCGGCCTGGGCGCACATTCCGTACCCGAGTATTGTACCATGCTGTGTTGCGGCGTGCTGTGCTGGTGCTGTGCTGTGCTGGTGCTTGCCGTGCCTTGTGATGCCAGAGGGCCACGCAGAACCGTGCTGGTGCCGGTGCCAGTGCGATGCTGTGCCGTGCGGGTGAGGGCGGCAGTGCCGTACTGTCCTGGAGCATGCCGTGGCGTGGCGTGTCGTGCTGTGCTGTGCTGTGCTACGCTGTGTGCTGTGCCTTGCTTGTCTGTGCAAGACCATGCGGTGCTATGCCATGCTATGCTATGGCACCTCATTGCGGTGCTCATCGTCGCGTTGCATTGCCGCGCAAATGTACGCCCTCAACAATGCGGTCTCCCGATCGGGGGTCACGCTATATTATTTTGCTTCAGGCGCCCTCCTACTTGAATCATCGAACGTCCTTCCCTTCTCATTCTTTGGTGGGGGGCGGGCCAGAACCCAGGTACACATCGACTGTTTTCCTACTGAATATTTATCCTCTTCCGATTGACGTATATCCGCAAGCACAAAACGTCCACAGCCCCAATTTGGTCAGCATTTTGGTGGATGTCCGTTTCCTGCCAGGCCAGAAGGCCGTGCCAGCAAAGATCTTACCTTCACATGGGTTTGAGGAGGCTTTGCGATGATGAACGACAGGGTCGCCCTCGTGGTCGTGCTCGTCGTCCTCGTAGTCGTAATCGGTAATCGTCGTCGTTGTCACCGTAGTCGTCGTCATCGTCGTTGCCGTCGTCATCGTCGTCGTTTTCGTCGTTTTTGTCATATCCGTTGTTGTCGCGACCGTTGTTGTCGTGGCCATCTTGGTCCCCGTGGTCGAAGTCGTAATCGTCGTTGTCGTGGTTGTCGCTATCTTTGTCGGTAGTCGTCGTTGCCGTTGTTGTCATCGTCGTCGTTGTAGTCGTCATCGTAGTCGTATCTTCCGCCGTCTTAATCGTATTCGTACTCGCTGTTGTCGTTGTAGTTGTCCTCGTCGCCCTCGGCGTCGCAGTCGTCGCCGCGATCATCGTAGTGGTAGCAGTCGTTGTCGTCGTCGCCGTCGCCGTCGCCGCCGCCGCCACCGCCACCGCCGCCGCCGCCACCGCCGCCGCCGCCGCCGTCGTCGTCGTCGTCGTCGTCGTCGTCGTCGTCGTCGCAAGGATCCTGCGCGCCCGAGGCTCAGTCTCCGCCCCCGCCTCCGACTGACTGCCGTCGTGCAGACGGGCGTCGCCGCCGCCGCCGTCGTCGCCGTCGTCGCCGTCGTCGTCGTCGTCGGCCCGTCGTCGTCGTCGTCGACGTCGTCGCCATCCCAGGCATGGCCCCCGGCGCCCCCGGTGGCGGGCCTGCCGCCGCCGCCCACCTCCCGCGGCGCCGAAGGCCCCCCCCCCCGCTGCTTTTTCCCGCTTTTGCCCCGCGCGCGCGGGGCGGAGCGCCGGCCGCACGGCGGGCGCGTGCCGCGGTGGACTCCGCGGCGATTTTCGAGGAGCGACGACGGCCTGGAAGACATCCTCCACTCCTCCTCCCCATCCTCTCCTCATCTCTCCTCTCCTCCTCCTCCTCCTCTGCCTCCTCCTCCTCTCTTCCCTCTCTCTCCTCCTCTCCTCGTCCTCCTCCTTCCCCTCACTCCTCCTCCTCCTCCTCCTTCCTCCTCCTCCTCCTCTCCTCCTCCTCCTCCTCCTCCCTCCTCCTCTCTTCTTCTCCCTCCTCCCCCCTCGCGCCCGCTCCGCGCGCGCGGGCGGAGTGCCGACTGCACGGCAGGCTCGCGCCGCGGTTCAGGAGGGGAAAAAACACGCAGACACAATGAATCGTCGATCCCCCAGAAAATATGGGGAAAGATGGGAAATGGTGGGGAAGACAGAAACCCAGAAGATATAAGAAAATGTGGGGATTTTTTTTTATTTGTGTGTATTTCTTTGTGTGTCCCAGGGCCCCTTCAACGGTGGACTCCGCGGCGAGGCCAGTCGGAGGCGACGACGGGGTTGAATCGGGCACGTCTCTCTACAGGAGGAATTAAAAAGAAAGAGTCAAAAAATAGTCGGGGGACGATGCTTGGAGTATTTTTGGATATTTGGGAGTTTTTTTTTTTTTTTTTTTTTTTTTTTTTTTCTTTCATATATATATATATTATATATATATATATATATTTATACATATATATATATATATATTCTCATTTTTCGTCCAAAATCCGCCTGTAGAGGGACATGCCCGACCTGACGATGGGGGCGAATAGCCCAGGGGAGAGCAATACATGTATTCCGGTGCGCCGATGATCTATGTTTTCGATAAGGCTCCCGGGCGGATACGTGTAATGCCGGCCCCTGGGCTATTGGTCCCTATCGTCGCCGCCGAGAGAACCTCCTCCTCGATTCTCCCCGTCGATCCTCCTCGATCCTCGTCCTCCTCGATGCTCCCCGCGGAGCCTCCTCGATGCTCCTCCTCCTCGATCCTCCCCATCGATCCTTCTCGATCCTCCTCCTCCTCCTCGATCCTCCCCGTCGAGAGGGGGCGGGCCTCCTCAGAAGGCTGCAGGCCTTCTCGGGGGCCCCTCGTCCTCCTGCGACGCCGCCTCTGTCTTCGCAGGAGGCCCCGACAGCTTCTCGAAGGCCCGCCGGGGTCTTCCGAGCCTTCTGAGGGGGCCCGCCCCCTTCGGGCTTCCCCCCCCCGGGGCTCGCCGCCGAGCGCCGCGGGCTCGCTCTGCGTGGGCGCGGCTGCGACCTCGGTGCGGGCGCTCGAGGTGGATCTCCGCCGGTGGTCGGAGGAGGGAAAGCCACCGACGCCGCCGCCCTCCCCTCGTCGCCACCTGGCCACGGCCAGATGCGCCGCGAAGCTCTGGTCAGAGGGCGCCCCCTGGGGCGGCCCGGGGAGTGGCGGTCTCGGAGAGTGGCTTGCGCGGTGTGGGAGCTGCAGCCAATCCGGCTTGAGCGATCACCACGCGAGCCTGCTGTGCAGTGTGAGTCTCCGCCGGCGGGGGCGCCTGTGCCGTCGGGGACGCCTGTCCCCGGGCGGGCAGAGTTCGGCCCGAGGGTTGGGGCCGTCAAGCTGCCGCTGCTTGGATCGAGGATTTAGTTTGTCTTTAGCCTGTTGGAGCCTGCGGGGGGCCCTTGTCGTCACTGAGGCCTCTCGGAATTCTGCTTAGAACGCACCTTGGGGAAGGCCCCGCAACCGATTTTACCAGGCCGTCCAAAGTTGACGTCGCGCACTAGGGTCCAGTTCTCCTCGAGCCAAATTTTGGCTCACAGTTTGGGCTCTCACAGCCCCGGCCACAGCTTCCTAGCACAGCGTGCCCTCAAGGCAGAGCCCGACGGCCTTCGAGGATGAATACCGGCCGCCAGCGGACGCCGAGTCAAGGATGAACTGTTTTCGCTGCCCTCGGCTTTGCAATGTGCTCTTCACCGTCTTCGTGGCGACGACATCCGCCGTCATCACGGCCGTGACTACTGTTCATGTCATGCTGAAACATGCGGAAATCTCTGGGCACAAGACGGAGTTGACCAGTCGTGCCGACGCGAGAGGCCTTTTGGGATCCTGACCGTGCTGATGTTGATGAAAATAAAGCGGCAGGCACCATCAATGGAGCTGTTGTCATGAAGTGCACCGCATGCACCAATTTGCGCGACATTCTCGTCTCATCTACGAACATCGCAAACACAGGAGAGATCGGTGAACTGATGGTGGCCTGCTCGAAAAAGTGCAAGGAGGCCGACGAGTGCGAGTCCTACATCATCGCGGCTCTTCCGGCGACCACACTTACGGGTGAGGCAATTTTCGGTCTCCAGGGGCCCTTACCGGGTCGCGGGGCTGTCGGAAACGAGTCGAGTGAAAAGTTGGTGTTGGGGAAGTGGTCGGAACCTCGGGGTGGCATGACGCGGAAAACTGACGACTCTGGGGCCAGGGCTGCATTTTTGGAGCTACTCGGCATTTCAAGATACATGAAGCTAGCGTTCAAGTAAGCGTCAATTGAGAGCCTCACTTTGCACAGGAACCGCCTCCATCCGTGTAGAAGTTGCACGCGCGCATGAGTGCGAGGTTTGGGGAGAGCCCTCGGGCTGGCCGCCGATACGAGGCGTGAGGTTTCAGCAGGCGGTCTCCCTGGACCTTTCCCGGTGCGCGATCTGACCAGGATTTCGAGGCGAATCCACTCCTGCGGTGGCGACGAGGGCCTCCGAGGAGGCCCAAGAAGGGCGAAAACGCAGGAAGGGTAGCGGTATGGTTGTGGAAGTCGATTAATGGAGAGGAAGCGTGCTGCCAAATAATTTCCAGATGTCTAAAACATGTTTCAAACATGTATTAGATATGTAAGAACATGTTTGAAACGTTTTTAGATATGTTTTACACATTTTAAACACATCTTTAATTCCATGATTGGAGGATTGTTAGTGTGTCCATTGTCATGGCATCCACAACGGTATGGGTACCTTATCCTTCTCCGACCTTCTCCTGGGCCACCTACTTTCTCAAGGGGCGGGAGCCCCACTTCCTCAGGAGGAGCCGGCGCTCGTCGTCGTCGGCGTCTGCGTCGTCGTCGTCGTTGTCGTTGTCGTCGTTGTCGTTGTCGTCGTCGGCGTCGTCGGCGGCGGCGTCGTCGTCGTCGTCGTCGTCGTCGTCGTCGTCGGCGTCGTCCTCGTCCTCGTCCTCGTCGGCGTCGGCGTCGGCGTCGTCGGCGTCGTCGGCGTCGGCGTCGTCGGCGTCGGCGTCGGCGTCGTCGTCGTCGCCGTCGTCGGCGTCGTCGGCGGCGCCGTCGGAGCCGGGGCGTGCCGCCCCCCCCGCGCACGCGCAGGCCGCGGCCCCCGCGGTGCCCGCGGCGGAGCCGCGCGCGGCGCCGGTGGTGCTGTCGGTGGAGGAGGAGCTGGTCGGGAAGGCTCGGGTGGGCGACGGGGCTGCAGCAGGCATGGAGGTTGAGACTGGGAGGAGTAGGAGGAGGAGGAGGAGGAGGAGGAATAGGCGGAGGAGGAGGAGGAAGAGGGGGAGGAGGAGGAGGAGGAGGAGGAGGAGGAGGAGGAGGAGCCCGGCAACGGCTAGAAAGGTGCCACCACATTAAACATGCATCAAACAAACTCCAAACGAGTTAGGGAGGGTCCAAGTTCTCCTCGGGCGGCACAACCTGCCGTCGGCGCTCTTGCGCTCGAGCGCCGAGCGATTCAGCCTCTTCCCGAGAGCTGAACCCGAAAAGTGAAAGGCCTCGCTGAAGGTCGACCCCAGTCCCAGCCCAGACCCACCCAATCCCGCCCGACGAAGAAGCCAGAGAGCCTCTGGACCGAGGTGGCGCGAGCAACGGGAGGTCGTCCAGACCCATCTTGGCGGCGAGGTAGTCTCGAGCTGGGTCCGATAACACGGTCGCTCGCGAGACCCGAAAATCTTTCTTCGAAGGATGGCGGCCCTGCAAAATCCAAGCCAACTGCCTCTCACGACCCTGGGAACGATGGCCCAGACAATCCGACGCGAGAGCAGTCTTGCCACCGTGCCCTCCGACGGTACAGACTGAACCGCAACGGGTGCAGAAGGCCAGGGAGCCAGCGGCCGCTCCAGCGGGGTCAGTGACCCCACACTCTATGATGTCGTGGGCGCGGGCCGGCCAGACATGGAGGTCGGGCCACTCGGCCCTGCCCTCCTCACCGTCGTCGCCCACCCCTCCCGACTCCCGACCCGTCCCGCCACTCCCAATAGGAGGCCGCCGTACGGAGCCACAATCAAAACGGCCAGGAGGAGAAGGCTCGGAAGGAGGAGGAGGATCATCAGGGAGAGGAGGGACCTCAAGGGTGATGTGCCTCAGCCAATCGATGCCGACATGGTCGAACTGCCCACTGTCCCCGATCCGAGCTTCTTGCTCAGCTGAGAACTTGCACAACAGCCGGGACAACTCAAAGCAACCATCGACGACGGCACGATCAGCGGCAGAGATTCGACCCAATGAGGCGCCTCGCTTGGCATATTCATCGGCAGCCTTATTGCCGAGATACTCGAGACGGCTGAGCTTACCGTTCTCGACATCACGAAGGGTGCAATGGGCAGGAACTTTACGCCACCGCACTCCGTCGAGCTTATCAAACACATGCTGCCACATATGCGCCCGAGCATTATCGGGACAAACAGCTCCCGCGGGGTCCGAAACATACCCGAGAGTTCCGGCACAGTCCCCATACAAGTTGGCCCCAGGGAACACAGTAGCATGGCGAACGAGAGAGACCACTGCATAGTCCTCACCGTCACGGGCGACCTGGGCTGGAGCTTCACACACGGGCACGCGCCCCCAAATCGCACGAGCAACTTTCCCCCACCCGTCCGTAACGATCACCGCCCATCCCGCCGATCGAATCCTAGGGAGGGCAGGCTCGAAACACGAGCCGTCCAAGAACACATGGGCCCCTTCCCCGAGCACCAGCCCGTCGGCAGGCCAATTGTGCCTATAGACCGTGGCCTCAGGGGGTTCGGAGGGGCGCGAGAACCAGCAAGTGGGGTCTGGGAGCACACACCTGGCGAACAACTCCTGGGCCCTAGACGAAAGAAGGCGCACTCTACCCGCTGCCCGGCGCAGGTCGGGGCTCAAAACATCCCGTCGCCACGCATCGTGGGCGGGGCAATCAAATCGACGATGAAACATGGTACCTGATGGGGCCTGGCAGGCCAGGCAGGCAGGGGGTATGTCCTGACAGGCGTCATGAAACCGCTGCTGGCACCAATACCTGTTGGTAACAAGGCTGCGCAAGCAGTGACGACAATGATCAGACCAAGCTGAGCCTTGCTTCGAGATCAGATCCAGAGCCGGCTTGAGACAGATGGGGCCGCGCCATTCGGCTCCAAAATCACTCTGCCTAGCCTGCTCTTCCATTACAATCGCTTCCTCACACGCCTCGCGCACGCGAAGGGCGAAGAAGGCCGGGGAAAACACAGACAAACTCCAGGAGCGACCCGCCTGGTCAATCAGGACCTCGTTTGGGACATCCAACCTCCAACCAATCCGAGCAAGCGTTAACACAAGAGCGGCAAGAGGTTGCTTGGCGGAGCCCCAGGGTTTAGGTTTCCTCGCAGACACGAGTGCATCGTCAAACGCAGAGAGGAGGACCTGCTTCGTGACACTGCGGTGCCACCAGACAGAAACAAATGACTTGACGGCGTCCACCGTCGTCGAAACAAGAGGATCCCGCTGGGGGGCCCCGCAAAGAAGGAAGGTGAGGCCGAGGGAGGATCCAGGCTGGAGGGGGCCAAAAGACCTGGCAGAGGCCACCCTCAGAGTCCTCAGAGCCGAATTCCCAAGACCATTAATGTGCGCCCCCCACGTGGCCTTAGCGACTGGGCCCGCTCTGTGCACCCGAGAAGCCTCCCTCCCCCGCCCAATCTTCGAGAGCCGAGTCGCAGCGGCCGACGATTCGAGGAGGCGCTTGTTTTGCACAGGCACGCGGCGAGCCTTGCCGTCAGAAGCGTCGCCACCCAGGTCACGGTGGGTGGTGGCCAGGAAGGACTCGTCGAACGGCCAGTCGGGGTCGTCCAGCAGAGCCTCGAGCAACTCAGGGCTCGAACACAGGAAGCAGGTCTTGTCCAAGTTGAGCGGAAGGTCGAGCTCATTCATCTGAGTGGCTACAATCGTGGCTGCTTTGACCAATTGCCGAGCCACAATGCGGAGAGAACCCACAGCATGCACCTTCAAGTCGTCCACCAAGTTCAGCGGCCGGCAGACAGGCGTCTCAATGGCAATAGTCCGTAAAACGCACAGGGTCATGAGCTTCACGGTGCCAGTCGCGCAGCTGCAACCCGCGATCACCGTGCCGTTGGGGACAACCAGGCGCGAGGTCGCGCCAAGCCAGCGGGCCCGCCTGGGTCCACGGTAGACCGCGCACAGGCATCGCAGCAGCTGCTCGTCAAAGCCGTAGTGCCTGCCAGCCTCGCGCATGGCGCCGTGGGAGATGTTCTCGTAAAACTTCCGCACGTCGTAGTACAGAGTGCCGCTGACGAAGCCGTGGCGCTTAGCATGCACCACCAGCAGGTTGTGGATGTAAGCAGCTCTGTCGGCCGCCGTATCGCCGGACTTGCCCCAAAAGAAGCTGGCATCCACACTGTGTTCCCAACCGCGAACTCGTTGCTGTCGTACCCTGGACCATACGCGGGGCCATAGGCCCAGGAGCCCTATCGGCCGACGGCCGACGTCAGGAGGAGGCTTGGGAATGAAAACGAACATCGTCGTCCAAAGCTCGGGGACTTCGGCAGTGAGCTCAAACCGGTTTAAGATGGCCGCAAATCGAGCAACCAAGGCGTCCGAGAGCTCCCCAAGCAGCCGCGGATGAAAGGAGTCCCAGCCCAGGCCTTTCCTCCTGCCGAAGAAGAGGATGGCCGAGCGCACCTGCGAGACACTGATGGGCTCAAGGGTTGTCGCCACATTCCACTCGGAGGCGTGCTGCTCATCATTCCTCGAGTCCTTGATCCAAAGCGGAAGCCACTCCTGCAAAACACCCTCAACCGCCAGCGAGCCCACCTGCGGCAGGGAATCAACGTCGCCAGGCAGGGATACAGGGAGAGGCTCGACAATCTTCGGCTTAATAAGCTTGTGCGCAATCCTCCCGGGGCCGTCGAGGGCCGACTTGCAAAAATCTCGCCATAGCTTGGCCTTGGCAGCCGCGTCAGCTCGCCTGCGCACGGCCACCTCCTCCTCGAGAAGATCCTCAAACCAAGCAGAAAGAGGGCTGTCCCGCTCAGCAAGCCCAAGCCACTTGTCGACGGCCACCGTACGAAGGGCCTCGGCACCAGCCACAGCTGGAGGTAATGTCAGGGCCTGAGCCTGAAGATGAAGGCGGGCACGCACCACCTGTCGCTTGCCGCGAGAACCACGGCTGGCCTGCCCCCACCGAAGCATTGCTCTCCAAATGCGAAGAAAGCTCCACCAAGCCTCGGTGTCGGACGAGTCGTGACGGCGCTGCCGCCGCTCATGGACTTCAAGCAAAGGCCGCTCCACCAGACGAATGCCTCGACCTCGCCCACGGTGGTGATGAGCAACCGATAAGTCAATCTGCTGGGAGCGGATGAGAGAGGCCTCGGCTAGGTCGAACCACCTCGCACTGGCTGTCTGCAAACACTCCAAGGGCTCGAGCAACTCCGCAGCCTCCCGCTGCGACTCGGAGGTGGGCTGCTCCCTGGGCTTGACCGACTCCTCAGATCCGACAGCCTTCCTGGCTACTGAGAAGGGCCGCCGAGGATCCTCCAGCCAAGCCGTCGGATGCTCCCAAATATCCCCCAGGGTGCAACACACCTGAACATGAGTGCCGGCAGGTGTGCCAGCAAACGCCTGAGGGTGGGAGGTGTGGTGGGCCAGCGAGCGGGACATGACGAAGTAGTCGTACTCGTTGTCCCCGCATGTCGGGACACCAGGGTTGACGATGATCCCGTCCACCTCCTGGCACCAGTCGCTGGCCACAAGGTCGTGGGCGTCAACGTTCCAGTCGGCGCCGATGATGAAGGGCACAGGGAACTGCCCAACAATAGACGCCACCTCCGCAAGGAGCGCCAGGTTATCACCAGTGAGGCCGATGGAGGTGATCATGTAGAGAGAGATCACCAAGAGGACCGAGCCCTCGCCGAGGTGGATCTTCCTGGCCACAATGCGATGGCTCCACTCATCAGGGACAGCAATGCCACTGAAGACCCCAATGTGCGTGCCGATGCAGAGGCCCACGCCGCCACTGACAGCCAGACGCTCAGCGCCAGTCCGACGAGGAGGGCCCAGGGCAAGATGACAGCCCTGGCCCAAGCACCACTGGCGAGCGCCCCCAGCCGCCTCGGAGTCGGGGAACCTCGTCTCCTGAACGAAGGCCACGTCAAAGCGCCTGCCGGCTGCAGCGTTCCACTCCGGCACCGTGCGAGCCCCTTGCCACG